CTCAGCCCTGCAGTCTCCTTCCTCGGGTCTGTAATCCTACCAGCATAATTGCAGCAGTAGATGGAGTTTCACTCGAACAGTAAGAGTATTTAATGTTAACAGTAAAAGTGTGTTACGGAATCGACTTAAGCTGAAGGTTACAGCAAAGTGAAGGGTAGCTTTCACCGTAACAGCATGCGTCATAAGGGACGATGTGATAATGACATTAGTCTTAAACACAACCCCTGTGCGTACCGTGCTTTAGCTGCCATCATCCTAACAGTGGGGTATTAATGTGCCAGAACGTGAACAAATATCTCACTACTGCTTAACAATGGGACAAATTAAATTCAATTTAAACATCCCTCTAACACTGCAGTCCCTATATGGCTTCATCGAACATGGGTCCTGGGGGCTGAGTATCCATTGCAAAAAAATGTCTGCATAATATTTTTTTCATTCCAGATGATGTAATGTCAGTTTTTACTGAAAATTTGTTCTTTAATTACACATTAAAATTTCCTGACTATGTAAGTGTAGTTTTTCCTCACTGTATTTGCTCAGGTCTCTTCTGGGTCCTCCAGTTTACTGTGTGCGTGTGTGTGCGTGTGTGCGTGTGTGTGTGTGTGTTGGGTGGGTGGTTGGTCCAGGTATACCCTACATTGTGGGGACCAAAATGTCACCACAATGTGATGGAAGTCTGTTATTCTGACCTTATGGAGACCATTTTTCAGTCCCCACAAGGGGAAACTCAATTTCATAAAAATATGCAACTGCAATCAAAAAACTACAAATGCCAAAAGCCACTTTATTTGGTTACTTTCGGTTAAGGTTAAGCCTGGATAGGGGTTAAGGTTGTCATTACTGGCATTAGGATTTTGCCCATAGAAATGAATGGAGAGTCACCATAAAGACATAAATACAAATGTGTGTGTGTGTGTGTGTGTGTGTGTGCGCACCCCATGATGGACTGCCATAATCTCCAGGGTGTCCCCTGCCCTGTGTTTACTGGAACAGCCCCCACGCCTGGCACAGCCCTGTACTGGATAAGCCATTCTTGGAGATGGATGGATGATGAATCAATACAAATTAAAAATACATAAAGCAGTGATTCAGGCAGAGTCGCTATACTTTATGATTAGCTTAAAGCCCTGTCATACATCTAAATAAGAAACCTCCCCTGTACAGTACGAAGATGGTTTTCTCCTAATTCATCTTACATAGGCACACAGGGATGGGGGAGGGGGGGCAGGATTTATCTGTTTACGAAGTGGCAGAGCGATCACCTAAAGCAGCACGTCTGTGTGACTGAACGGCTCGCCGCCTCCACCTGCACAGGAAGTCCCCCCAGACAGGAAGTGCCCCCCTCCCCCAGCGCAGGCGCAGGCCCAGGCTCGGTTTGCCTCGTGTTTAGCAAACCCCTTCTTTGTTGCTCTTGAGCCATCTTGCCTTAGGATCTGGCAGGCGTCCGTGCATAAATGTTTCCATCCGTCCCTCAGGGTAATTCCTCCCACTCTCACTCCCGCCCTCGCCCTATCTTGCCGTTTCCCCACCCCCCGATCTTTCCACCACCTGTCTGTTTGCTGCAGGCCCCCTTCAGTCACCCTCTCCCACCCCCACCAAGGTGGGCTGAATGAATATTGGAGAGGCTCTGATACATCCATCCATCCATCCATCCAGGCTCTGATACAAACAAGGTAAATTATTCCCCTAAAAACCCTGTGAAAAATAAAGAAAAAAATCTAATACCAAAAAATGTATACTGCCTCAAGAGAAAATCCCTTGTTGTATCTGTGTGCCAGAACAATGACTTGGTGCACATCTTGCGTTTGAACTCTCCTCGAAGATCCCTGGAGATGCATCTAACCTCTGGGCCAAGATCATTATTTCTTTGTTTTTTTGATGGCATCTTTTGCTGCGTGACCGGCCTCGGTCCTTGGGGACCCAGTGCCGGCCACTCTGAGAGGAGTGTGTCCCCCATCGCGCCACACTGAAACTGGACCTGCACCCACGTTCCTGCCGAAGGCCCCTGATCTGGTGATGTTCCCCCTGCCGACTGAAAGCTTTATGACCCAAGAAACAGAAAAGACAAATGATAGCTATAACATCAGCTTTCACTGGAATTACTCTTCTGGTCCTCTGCTTTTACAACATGCACCATTTAATTGTTCACATTTAATTGTGCACAGACATAGTATAACCCCTAAACCATTCATGCAGCTGGGGATTTTACCATAGAAATTCCTGTCATAAAGCCCCCTGGCTGCATAACCACTATACAAGATGTTGCCAGCTTGTCAGAATGTATCTGGGCCAGAGCAGCTGCCACCTGAGCTGTGTTACAATACCCAGCTTGGACATTAATGCGCAGTGGTGGTACTGAAAACCATACTGGAGTAAAAGTAGAGATACCTTACTAGGAAAATGACTCTGGTAAAAGTTAAGTTGCCGTTAAAATACCCCCCACCCCACCTAATCCCTACTCCTCCCACACCTCTCAAGCTCTACAATTTCTAGCCCACCTATATACCCTCCCCACCTCTCCAAAAAAAATCCTCATTAACAGCCGCACTTTGTGTGACTTGTCACAGTGTAATCAGGTTCATTAGATCTGCGTCTGTGGCAGTCCTTTCACGCACCGCCACACTTCTTCCATTTCGGTGCAATTTGTCTCAAAATAAATTTTTTCCCAAATCATCACTTATACAATGTTCAGGGGTAGCTTGAAAAAGATCCTTGTAATACTTTTAGAGTTACTGCATTGACAAAATCATGTGTCTTCTGCAGCCACCCTTTCCGTCCTTTGATGCCACCTAGCGCTGCTGCTTCAATTTTGGTGTATTTCGTCTCTAAATAAAATATGATGCTGATCTTCATTTACATAATGTGGTAATAATATCCATTAAACACTTTTTGAGTTATCATTTTCACAAGATCGATTGTCTTCAGCAGTCACCTTTCCCTTTGCTGCCACCAAGCAGCGTTGATTTGGGAGTCATTTGTCTGAAAATGAAAGCAGTTCTAGACTCTCTCCTTCACAAAGTTCTTGTGGAGTTTAACCCAGTCCAAACTCCTCTCCAATGCTTAGCAAACCTATGAATAAGAAGTGGTATTGAAAAGTTTATTTTTCTTTTTTGTATGAAGGGACACTTTAAAGTTGAAGTATATATTTTGCAGTGGAACAAAGGCGTGCAGGCAGGTTTTAGCCATTGCAAATTTTAATTTCAAGTGAAATGTTCAATGGAAAAAATAGTCTTTCTCTCTTTACTTTTTAAACTTTGACAAAAAGAATTTTTAATGTTGTTTCTTGAAAATCAGATGTCACCATCAATTTTCTTAACATTATTACTGGAAAATTGGATGGAGAAAACAATTGCAGAATACAGTGTTTAATAAGCCATTTGATAAATTCATCCAGGAGCCAGGCTGTGAGAAACAGCAGGCCTTCTGACTGTTGGTTTCTGAATATTTTCCTTGTACATCAGCTCTGGCTGATGCCTCTGTGCTGGGTACATAGTTGCACCTACGGCATCTTACTTCCTGGCACATAAGTGGGGGTAGGGTGTGGCTCAGTGGGCTGAACCTGTGTGCCTGTAATCACAAGGTCGCCGTTTCAGCCTCAGCACGTCTGCGGGTCCTTGAGCAAGGCCCTTAACCCCCAGCTCCCTGGGCGCCGCTACAGGTGGCTGCCCTTCGCGGACAGCTTACTCTACAAAGAGCAAGTTGAGGGAGGCATAAAGAAAATTTACCCATAGGGATTAATAATGTATCAATTATTATTAAAATCATCACGTCGATAGTAATGTTGCATTAGCAGTGATGTGTTGCACTTGAGTAACTCATTACTATATTTATACTTATACTTATATGACTGCAATCAAGTATAAGTCATATACTTATACTTATTTTGGCAACTCTGAGTATTAACAATATTAGCAACTTTCACTTTCTACTCAACAATTATAAAGAAATTGTGTACTTGAAGAAATAGTGTGTTTTACTGTATTACATTTCTATTGATAACAGCCATTATTGGATGTGCCGCATAATGAGTATCAATGAGAGGGGTGGTCTCAGACATTTAATCTTGTCAGCATGATAACTCAAGAAGTATTTTTTCAGATCTTTTTTAAACCTTATGTATAACAAAGCATCTCATTTTGATGAATAGCAAACACAGGAAATTGATATAGATTTAGCGCCCTCTAGTGGACAGATGCAGCAGTATTTCCACTTTTATCTTAGCGAAATTAATGGTTTTACGGAACAGGCAACATAATATACAAAAGACTAGTGATGTCCACAGATATTTCGATGGACGGTACTACTTTTTTCCTGCAGAGGTGTTGTGGGGGGGGTCACTTATAACATCACTATGGGGGCATATATATATATTTTTTTTAATAAGAGCACCATCCTGGAAGTGCTAATCCAAGTACTTCTGAAAGAGGGAGGGTTTTAGTGGTTGTGCATTACCTGCTAGTCTGTAAATGTTCCATTACAAGTCAAAACAAGCACTCATTTTTGTTGCTAGTATTGTTGATTGTGACTAAGAGTCAAACAGAATCACAAGATGTGATGAAAACTGATTCATGTTGGAAAAGAATTTGTAATATGCAGAAACACCACTAGATGGCCTCACTGCAGCGGCTGCATGTCTGAGCTCAGCTGGTCTGCTCAGCATGTTTGTGTTCATTGAACACTTGCGTTTCTGCTACTGGTCCATGCTAGTCCCTGGCTAGCAATATCTGTGTCTAGGTGAACTATCTGCTAATTGAAATGGGCATTCTGCTCCTTTTCATAAAGAAAAGCTGATTGTCTTAAAGTGGCAGCAAAATCAGAAACCTTGAATCGGCTTACAGCAGACACAAATCGGCCAGTGGCCCGGAATTAAGGCACTGCCAAGATAGAGCTCCCAGTGTCGTCTGTTGTCCAGGAGACAGACTTTCCAGCTGAAATATGAGACAAAGGTAATGTGACAATGTTTTTGGCAATATGCACCTTCATGAAAGCACTATCAGGACAAGGCATGTAAAAAACTTTATTTTCTTTACTTAGCATTTTTCAACAACATAGTTTTTTCCTTACGTCCATCAAAAGTTCATCCTGTATAGGAATACTGTTTACTGTAATAGACAAATCTTTGAAATACAAAATTGAACTCCAGAAGGATAACAAAGCTCTATCTTTGAGAGGAATCAGTCTCTTTGTTTCGTCCATCCGCTGTATATCTTTCTCTAATATCCTTTATCTATATGTCCCAGTATTTTACATTCCATTGCTGAATCGTCCGACTTCTCTTTCTCTGATTTATATTAAAAAAAAAATGAACTGGGCACTTTACGCAAACAACAGCCTCCAAGCACAGTCTTTTTACACAGGCTGATTTATAGGTATGCGTACAGTTTGTTTGCTGTGGGATTTGTATCTCCAAGCTCTGCCGACCTGTTTTCCTTTGAATACATCACTCTGCTGCTGTGATGCCTGTGTTTTTGTGATTGGTCCAAGAAAAAAAACAATTGTGATTGGTCACAGGCCCAGGCTCATTATGCTGTGCGAAGGTGTGCTCTAAAATGCAATAAACAAATCCAAACAGTGGATATAAATAAAATCAGTTAAAGGGCTCCTGCACAGGAACTGGTGCATACACATTGCAATTAAGGTTAGCTGCTTAATAGGATTCAGTGTCACAGGCTGCTGTAAGTGTCAAGAAATGTTGGAAATGTACTTTAGCATCCAGTGGAAATGTGGAAACTTAGGCATAGGTATCTTGTTTTTACCAGTATTGAAAGTATTAATATGTCAGTCACCTATAACTGATGCATGAAATATGTGACCTCACCCCTTCTACCTCCCAGAAAAAATATCGGTGAACCTTGCACCTTCTTTCCAGACAGTAGATGAATAATCACAGCTTATGGAGAATAGTTCTTGGGTCTGATCATCATTTTGACAGATTTGAAAGCCTGCCGGTAGCCTGTGAGATAGGGCTCTGTGGTGACGTTTCTCCAGGTGCTCCAGAAGATTCCGTTGCGGACGCCCTTGTATTTTTTCTTGTAGTATTTGCCGTTGAGATTGGCAGACATGCACGCATCAAACCACCAGCCCGAGCTGTAATAGGCACCACAGTTGCCCGTACTGTACATGTCGTTGTCCCGGTCCGGGGTGGTGAAAAACTTGTGGTCGTGGTTGTAGTTCTTGCCGTAGTGCATAGCATCGCCGGCCGTTCCCGAGTAGCCGCCGATGGACAGCCGGTAGTTGAGGTATTCGTTGGCCACATAGAAATGGTCGTATTTGGCGTACTCCCGCACCGTGTTGAGGTCCTCCAGCTCGATACGCAGCACCATGTCCTTGGACTTGGTCAGCAGGTGGATGTTGTCGTTGCCTAGCCAGAATTCGCCACGCAGGTCCCCAAAGCCTTGCTTATATTCCTCCCAGGAGCGGTTAAAGCGCACTGTGCCGTCCAGCCGCCGCTGCACCACGGTCCAGCCACCTCCGTAGGACTCCATGTCGCAGTAGACGTCGAACATCCCCCGCTGCAGGTCAGGCATCACTTGGTACACACCGCTCTTGGTCTTGTGGCCGCTGAAGTCGGAGCAGTCACGCGGCGCTACCATTACTGCCAAGAGAGGGAGGGGAGATTGAGCTTCGGGAACAGCAAGGTCAGGCCGCGTTCATCTAGCAAGCAGTTCCTTCAAGTGTTTACAGTAAGAAAACTGTTTTGTTTGGTTGGTATTTAATTTGATGATTTGTTTTGTATTGTGAAAACAGTGCACTTCAGATGAGTTAAAACATCAAATGTGGTGTTCTGGGGGGGCAGTTAGCAATGCCGGGTTTTATCGAGTGCATCTGGACTGACGTGTGGGTCCTTTTGGATGTTTTACTAGCTAAGGCATCCAGAGAGAGAACCTTTCCTAAAACTGACAGGCTCTTGGCAGGAGCGGCTGATTAAGAGGAGGGACCTGAAAAGTGGTGTGGCTTCTCGCCGGCAGCATAGGGCAGCCAGGAAAGCTGCCCCCCTCCCACAGTGATGGGATGGTGCGACAGGCAGACTGGTGACAGACTGATCGGTCAGTCTTAACCTAGTAGGTATCTTCAGTTATGAAACACAAGCGCACAATAATAGCGCACAAGGACTCCACTTTAAACGTCTTTGTTTTCATTCTTAAATGCTGTAGATGTTTCAGCAGAACCATCCGTGACCTTTTATGCGCACGCTAATCACACAAAGCCAAATAAAGTATTTGTGGAAAGTAAACGCTATCAAAAGACTGCTCCTGGATTAAACCCAAAAGCTTCGCTAGGCATGTTGTTTAGTTTTTTCCTGAGCTGCCTGACTTTTGTAAATGCTGTTTTTTAAGTATAGTTAGCCTGTTTTTTTTTATGGTAACTGTGGACTGTGTGGCGTCCCACGATAAAAGAAAGATTACATCTTACGGCACCCAGGGATGCGTGCAGAGGTCCCTGTCTCTGCTTAAGAAGGAGCAGGAGTTGCACAGATGTTGCATGCAGTTCAGTATATCAAAAGCTTGTGTGGTATGCAGCAGTGTACGGGTCATGTTTCCAGTTAGTTACAAAGCATTTCAGGACCCCTGTCCGGAAGAATCATATGGCTGTAGTCTTTAGAAAAGTCCCTGAACCAAACGTATGTAATAAGAATGTATAGCTGTCTGATACAAAACTGCCAAATACATTTAAAATTGTGACAATATGACTTAAAGAAATTTGCCTTTGTACTTACTTGGCTGTGGTCCCTGTGCCGGACAGGGGCCGGGGCACTTGTTGTTGAGCTGGGTGACTAGCCTACTGATATTCTCCGCATTTCCGTTGACCAGGTCCTCCACGTTCTTCATGTAGACCTGGGTCTGGTCATCCAGGCTGTTCCTCAGGGTGTCAATCTGAGCGTGGGCATCCTTCAGGCTGGTGGACAATTCTGTCATCTCGGTCTGCATCTCCTGCAGCCTGGTGGCATCCTGAGGATCCTTGATTTTCAAGAACGAGGATGGGTAGGAGCCGGGGGCGGGAGTGACCCCACCATCCCTCTGGTCGGCTTGTGGATGACACTCCAAGCAGACGGCCCGCAGCTGGTCCACCTCAGCCCGTAGGCTCTGAAGGTCCTTCAAGGTCTTCTCAAGCAAGCTGAACTGTTTGGGCAGCTGGATAGCAAGGGGAGGCAGGCTGACCTGAAAGGGACAGGTGTCCCCATCTTCACAATCACCCGCCGGTTGGAGCTTCAGTGAACAGGTGGCAGATCTGCTATCCTCCTGCTCTCCTCCTAGTGTGGAAGCCAAGACTTCAGGCTGGGCGGCCAGAAGCAGCAGGAGCGACGTCAAATATGCCTGGAAGAAAGAGGAGTCCATGTTTCTGACGTTGGGGAGTTACCTACAGCCTGTGACCATGAGGGGATCCCAGGGAATGAGAGTGCTACAAGGAGCGCTGCTGCTTCTGTGCCCGTCAGAGCCTCTCTCTGCCTCAGTCTGTGACATGCACTTCTCTAATAAGTTGCAGAGAGAGGAAATGGGTGGACCGGGGATTGAGCAACTCTCCCCTATCAATAGCCCAAAAAAGAAAGCAGGGTGGGTTTTGCACTGCCTGTCGTCACGTTGCTCAGCCTACATTCCCGAATACAGTGACGCATGCAGTGCAGTTCCTCTGAAAGCCGAGGTCGTTTTCATGCTCAGTGCCGCGGGCTGTGATCCACATGGCTACATCAGAGAGTTACACCTGATCGAGGGGGACTGTATAGCTCACATGCACTTTAGAGACGTGCTGAACGGTCCCAGGCCACCGGTCCATCACGACCGCAGCCTGTTTTCTGTTAAACTGATACGCTGTTGACGTGTGAAATGGGTATTTGCTCTCGTTACTGCCACGTGCTGCTAGAGACATGCAGTGTGAGCCAATATTAAACAAATTGTTATCATTCTCATTCCATTCATTCTGAAGTATTTCAGGAAATATCAAGTTAAGTCATCTGGTAAAAAAATACCTTCCAGACCTTGGGATACTGGGAAGCGAGGCCAGAACGGAGATCTTTGCAAGATTCTTTAAAGTTAACTGACTTGGAAAATGAAACAACACTAAACCTCCATTTCATTTCCAGTGAAGGGCGGAGGAAGGAGAAAATGGAAGGAGAAATGAAACAACAGAGGAGGAGTAGATATTGTTTCTCCTGTCAGTTTTCCTTGCAGCTTTTGCAGAACACAACTTTATATCTTCATGTCAGACTGCAGACGAGAGCAGGATCTTGCTCCCTGAAACTGCCCCACCCCCAACAAAGCAGCACCCTCCCCAAGTCTTAAAACCCAAAATCCAAAATCCTCTTCCCCACTTGACAGAATCTATCCACTGTACTTCTAGCGGGGAGCCCAAGGTGACATTTTGTTATGGGGCCCAGAATTTCTAGCTACGTCCCCATCCATCCATCCATCCATCCATCCATCCAAATTAACCATTGTTAGAAGTTGATGAAAAAAGCTTATTCTGATTATTAGTTTTATTTTTTCATTTGAAATGTTTCATTGTATTGTATTTTTTCTGGAATTGTATGTATTCTTATTGGCATCACATCAGCAGGGATTAATCGTGTTAATTAATGATAATTTTCCATAAAATCCTAGGCGTTCTGTGGAAACGTTTCTGGGGACCCAGAATATTTGTCTCTCTTTCGTTGGGAATGAAGCGTGTTGCTATGTTTGCCAGCTTCACGCCTTGCCTGTGTATTTCAGAAATGCTCTGACTATAACAGCCTCTTCTGTCTGTAGCGTGCCGCCAGCAGGTGAAGCCCCCTCCAGAGGAAGCACTGCTTCACCAGGAGGCTGCTCCTTCACCACAGCTGGGGAGGCCTGTACACAGACCTTGCAACAGGAAGCAGCTGGACTTTATAGGGGGGTTACTGAGCACTCGGGTTCTCTCCGCGCCCAAACTCAGTAGCTCTTCTCTTCATGCAAAAATGAAGCATTTGCTCTTGGGGGTGGGGCCAAGTCAGGTGACAAGCCCCTCCACTGACCTGCATTCAGCAATCTTTTGTCTTTCTTGAGGGAGAAGCTGATTGGATGCTACGTTCAAAAACGTCTATTTCCCCGCTTTCCTCGGTTAGAGCCTGTCTTTGGTGCTTGTTCCCTTAGTCCAGCTTTAAAAGTCCCCATTCCATCCCCTGATTTCTGTGCTGCATGGATCTGCTTGCCGTCCCAAAGGACGCAAACCCAACAGCCACAAATAGCAGAATAATAACAAAGAGCTAACGCTGGGTGCTGAGAACGTAGAATCTGGTTTGTCACCCTTTGGTTACCAGAGGGTTTATCACCGGGGTTGAAGTTTAGAGGGTCCTTTATCTGGCCGTGTTTAGAACCTAAATCGCTTGTTGCTAGAGATGTTTCTTTGCAATGAAAGTAAACCAGATGTTCCCTCTTAACCCACAGAGAAACATGAGCAACATTTTTAGATGTACAAGTTTTTATTATTATAATCATCATCATCATCATCATCCTTTATTTGCACGAGTACAGGTACATTTGAGTTCTTCTCATCGCCTACCCCTTCTTGCTCTCCATAGCTTGGGGTCACAACGTTGGGTCAGCCAATGTGTGGCAACCCTGGAGCTGGGAGTTAAGGGCCTTGCTTAAGAGCCTGCGGACATGTGGCCGTTCTGCTGAGTCCAGGGCAGCGATCCACTCATCACCCCCTAAAATTGGTCGTGACCCCGACGTGATTCAAACATGCATCCAGATGCGCTACCATTACACCCCAAGGTCCTCAGTTTAGAGGAATATAGTACTGAAGTTTGGGTCAAACCACGCTGCACAGCAGCCGAGGCCAGTATCACGGGTCAGGGTGGGGGGGCTCTGTTGTGGTCCCTTTGCTCAGATCAACACTGTGTTGCTTACTCTAAACTCTTATTCCATGCAAGTCTTGTTCATTTGTTGACATAATTTTCCAAAAGCAACACATACAGACTGCGACACTGATGTTCAAGGCTCTCGCAATCCTACTCCTCCCTAGTGTTTATGGGAGGGGACCATGTTGAGTCAGGGCCAAGCCACTGCTGTTGGGCCTGGTTTGTTTACTGTTTCTGGAGCTTGTAGAGTCTCCCACGTGCTGCATACTGCAGACAGTGAGATCGTTACCCTACAAACAAGGGCTTTGGCTGTGATATGGTCAAGGGTTAAGGGTACTAGAAGTCGTGGCAAGATTTTGGCACTCAGGAAGATCAAGGCATTGAAGGAGCATTTGAGTTGCTGGTAGATTCACACTCTCATCTGGGAAGACCCAAGTTCAATGACTTACACATATAATTATTTATATGTATTTCTAATCAATTTTTCAAGAAACCTAATACTAGTCGAACAGATGGGAATGCCTTACAAAAGCAGTCACACCCTGCAACCATTTTGAAGTGGTTTTAGATTTCAAATGATGCAGACATGTTTGTCCAATTGCTATCTTTATTGCAAGGTGGCATACAGTAACAGAAATTTGAATAGAAAATCACTCCAGGATTCAAACGGGTGACTGTCCAACCTTGGGCACAAGTTCACAACCCATAAAACCACACGCTGGCAACAGCTACCAAGGGGCCAATGCCCACTTTGGCAGAGATATGAAATTTGGTAGCACGCAGTGGTATGAAGGCGCATCAAGCAAGTATATGAGGAGCTCTGCATAATGCTAGCCTGTATGGCTGGGTGCCCATGATGAAAATAGCCACTGCAAAGCTAACTTGGACTTTTATAGACAGCACCAAGCAAAAATTGGGGAACTGTATTATAGATTGATGTGACCAACTTTCAACTTTGTGGTCTGAGTGCAACATACCCACATCCCAAAAGAGCAGTATCCCTTCAGTGAATGGAGGTGGTGAAGGCATCATTTTGTAGGGATGCTCATTATCCGGAGGATGGCCGCAAAGTCAGGGATGCATAGTGCAACGGACAGAGATTTTGGACTCACTGGGATCAGAAGGTCACCAATCTGAATGCTGTGGCTAGCTCACTGATGCTGCAGTTGGGTGAAGCAGCAAGACCCTTGACCCCAATTGCTCCAGGGCTGCTGGACACCGGCCAAGCCAACCCCCCCCCCCCTCCAACACACAAGCTTCAAGTCTTATACCTCGTTTCCACCAACACAGTTCTGAGCCAGATTTAATTAATTATAAACTTGGCATGGGTTGAACAAAATATTGTGGCACTTGAGTAACAAAGAGATAATGAGATGTACAGCAAAGATACATTTTTAGCAGACTTGAAGAATCTTAAAAGGACAGCGGTAAAAAGAGTGAGTGAGAATAAATTCACACACAGTTTAGGGAGAAATGCAGCCTTTAATGAGACAAAAGTAGATACAGGCAATAGAGACAGAGTGCAACTATAAGACTTAATGGCCCATTCCAAATTCACACCTAGGCCCAGCCTATGCCAGTTGCACCAGTTGCAGATGATGAAATTTAAGTAGCCTCCAAATATCATACCCATCATGCACTGCAGTAGTTATCAAATTCCACAAGCGTGCTTTTTTAGTTAAATACACGCTTCAATAACAGTTTTGTCACGCCCAGCTCCATACGATCCTTGTGTGTGCCACGCCCCTCATTACCTCGTGTCAATTCCTGGTTGTGATCACCTGTGTCCTGTTATTTCTGGCTAGTCTTATGTATTTAGTTCGCGTCTGAGTACGTCTCGTCAGATCCGTCATTGTATTGTCTTGGTGTTCATGCCTGTCAGCCCTCCGTTTACCAGTAAAACCCCTGTTTACCCGCATCACCGTCTCTGCTTGCCTGCTTCTCCGCTTGCCCGCTCCACGCACTCTGACAAGTTTGACTACAAAATATTACAAACTATTACATTTCAAAAATTGTAAATACTTTAATCAAAATATTTTTGTATTATGACTCCCACCATAATGAGATTGTATACATAGAAATGACAGATATAGAAGTAGTACATCAAAAGTTTATATAATACACACGTCAGGGTCTTAATTCTCACAAACATTTTGCATATAGGGGAGATTTGCAGTGAGAGAGAGGCCCTTGATGTTGGGGGGCAGCCCCTGTCCCAGGTCTTCCACCTCATGACAGGGCATTTGCTGCTTTGGGCCTGGGGGGGCTCCCATCCAGGTAATAAACATGAGCATTGCTTTAACACACCCAATCACTCTAGGTCATAGCTAGAAATTCTGGACCCCCTGACAAAACGTCACCTTGGGGTACCTGAGCCCATATGTGCTCTTGCAATCACCTTTGTGTGACTGAGAAAGATGGGGTCTCCTGCGAGCTAGAAATGCATCATTTCAAAACCAAAGCACATACATCTCGGGATCTGCCTTCTTAATTAATTGTCATAACACAAGATAGTTTCTTGGCCACTTTTGACCCCTTATGCACGATGGATGCTGTCTCTAATTTATGGATTAGCTGCTTGTAGACAAACATTGGGCAACGTGACCATGTGACCACTCAGCCTCAGGACCCCATACTGAGCCTCAGACATACTGGGCTCTGGCGTTATGTAGCCGGCGACTTACAGATGAACATGTTGTGCTGTCAGCAATGTGGGAC